ATGATCTATCATGTCCAATAAGTCTCCAGTTCATATTCTCAGCCATTTTCGATAAAAGTGCGCGACAAAATTGCATTTTAAAATCAGAAAATTGTCCATAACTTGGCACCGGAAAAGAATTTTCCAAATTTTTCTTCGGATGTAACAATTTCATATAATGACACATATTTTGTGAAATTTTCATGAAAAACCGCTGAATAGTTTTCGAGAAATCGCCTGCACAAAATTTGTCAAAAAAGAATAATAATAATAAGAAGAAACAATAGAATCACTATAAGGTCTTCCGTGAAGACGGAAGACCTTAATAATAAGAAACAGTAGAATCACTATAAGGTCTTTCGAGAAAACGGAATACGGAATAACTTAATAAGAAACAGTAGAATCACTAGAAGGTCTTCCGTGAAGACGGAAGACCTTAATAATAAGAAACAGTAGAATCACTAGAAGGTCTTCCGTGAAGACGGAAGACCTTAATAAATAAAACCCTATGGCCATTATTTTGAAGGAAATTTAAAAAGTCACACTTTATCTACGTTACTTTAATAGTTAATTATCACTTTGCGTCATTTTTATCCCAGTAAACTTGAAAAAAAGATCTGAAAGATCTTTTTCAAAATTAGATATTTTACTAAAACCAGTGAAATAGTAAATCCAACAATAAAACTTCAATTTTTCAACCGTCAGCTTCCCTTACGTGTAAAGCAATATACCTCTATCATTTATGTGAGGTTCATATCTCCCATTTGATTCGATACGCAAGAGCATGCTCTACATACGGACAATTTTAGATCTAAAAAAAACACAAGTTAATGACTAGTTAATGAAAATGATACAGTCAGTCTCGGTTCAAGTTCTATGGGTCGAAACGAAGACCTTGTCAGCATGCACAATCTATCATTAAGTCGAATATTGCTTAGCTTTTTTGTACCAATTGTAAGACCATTCTTTTCAAATGGAATTTGTCTAAAGATCTTGCAATTTGCCCTCTCATAAGTAACACACGGCGGGTAAGACCGGTCGACAGGGGATGCTTATTTCTCTATGACACTTCGTCCCACATATGAGGTCTTTTGAAAATCCACTAAACACTTCTTTAAGAGACATGTTTTTGCACTGCTACCTGCTTGTATTGTGTCAATTGACTTTTGAGCTTGAATACTCTCCGTTGTGTCCACATTTATAACACACTCATTTACAAAAAGAACCAGATATATTCCCGCGTGCGGCAGTGGTAACAGCGTTTGCTCACTGCAGGTGGTGGAGACTGGTCCTTCGGATGAGACCAAATAAACCAAGGTCGCAGTAGATGTTAGCACGAAAAAGATCCCTCACTGGCCATGGCCATGAGTGCCGAGTAAAGGTAAAAATTTCCAGCCCTCCACAAGTAAGTGGTAGTGTCTCCATATGTAAAAAAAAAAAAAATCTCGAGAGGGACGTTAAACAATAAACAAACAAACAAAACTTAGATGTACCGCTGTATTTATTGTTTTGGTTAGAATAAATTATGAAAGTCATGAAAACAATTGCAAGTTTGTGCTCAAGATTTGGGGCAATCTTGTATTTCTTCTTGTGTTTAACATGTAGTGAAGTACAGTTATATACTAATTTTTCTTGTCAAAATAAAATCAAACATAAATCAATAGTTATTTATAAATCTTTTTTTAATATATATTTCATTCATTCGAGATATTTATATAGATTTGACGTAAAAAGTAAAAAAAAAAAGTATTAGTTTTACGAATATACCATTCGGTGGGTTTTAACATATTTTATTGTCATTTAAAATTACAAAGGGATTGATCACAAGTAATTTTAACTAATCACGCACTCTCCCTGCATGTGAAATTACAAAAAAAATTAGATTGTCAAAGTAAAACACTGCACTTTTAAAGTATACAATAACTGCAAAATTTTACAACAATACCACTTTATTACATGTGTATTTGCTAAATACTCAGTATTAGACTCCCGCCTGACGCAGTGGTAAGAAATTTTGCTCTAGATTTGATTTGATTTTGATTTGCAAGGATCTGATCCTTACTTTGTCGGTTTGAATACTAGTACCTTTGCGGAAGATGGAGACCGGTCCTTCGGGTAAGACCTTATTTATAAACGAGGTTCAGTGTCGCAATAGGCGCTTGCACGGAAAAGCTCCCACTGCTCAAAGGCCCTAAGTGCCAAGCATACATCTTAATTTACAGTACTCCGCCGCAATTGATAGCGTCTCAATAAAAATAAAAATTAATTTTCTCAAAGGGATATCAAAAAGCTTATTAATTAATATCAATCTTAACTGTTTAAACCAAAAAAAAAATGAATTAAAAGTTACATGTAAATACTGACTAAAGATACAGATAACTTGATCAGTTTTGATACATACTATATTTAAATGCCATCGAATGAAATACATATATAATATACAGTATATAAATACATGTATTACCTTATTGTAAGATGTTTCTCTCACACCAGAATAATATTAATAAACTCCATAAATCATAACTGTTATTAACGACAAATAAATTTTCTTTTCGTAAATTGGGTACGTTATTGATTGTTAACAATGTTATGCCTATATCACAGTTGCAAAAGTCAACAGATAAAAACAAACGTCGCTATTGTGACGTCACATAACGCTGCATATGAAAAAATCCTAAATATTTCTTTACCAGTATCTTCATACCATCACCCTCAGGGATGTTGTTTGAATCACTGATTTTGATCAATTCTGAGAAATAAGAATTAACTTTTATAGCATGCTTCATTTTTTTTATATTGAAATAATTTTATATCCGGTGTAATGTTCCAAGACATTAAGGGGGGACCTATGTCGTTCTACGTCAATGCAGTCGTCAATTTTTATTTTTTTTTTTAAACATATTATATTGTTAGTATAATTTTGATTCTCAGTTTTGACAAACAGATTCTCTGCAACCAAGCTGCAACAAAATTCAGCCATTGATTTTTGAGAGAAAAAGGATAAAGTTTTTACGGTTATTCATCGGACGAACTTTGATCAGAAAAGTCCTTTTTCGTTTCCTAGGAACCATAAACTCTTGGCTCAAGAAAAGATTTTACTGTTTTAATCTTTACATTTCTTTCTCATAGAAGTCGCCTGAGTGGCGCAGTAGTTAGAGCGTCTACCCTAGAGTCACGAAGTAAGGAGTTGACCCTTGAGATCGGTCCTTCGGATGAGACCATATAAACCGAGGTCTCGTGTCGCAGTAGGTGCTGGTACTTTAAAGATCCCTCCTTGCTTAATTGCCCTGAGTGCCGAATATAGGACAAAATTTGCAGCTCTTCATCGTCAAGTGGTGGCGTCTCCATATGAGTGAAAAATTCCGAGAGGGACGTTTAACAATATACAATCAATCAATCTTAGTTTGAGGATTGATCCAAAAGCAATTTCACATTTGTCATGTCCAATTTTAATAACGTTTTGTCTATTAAAAACAAAAGTGCATATCGTTATTTTCTGTTTCAAACAACCTGCCTTTATACCTTTCTGATATACATTGTGTATTTGCACTTCGTTTGCTCGTCATCTTTTATTCATGGTCTTATCGATATATACTTTTTGCAGCTGTATCATGATAAACACAACTTCCAACCACTTGTTTTGAAAGATAAGGTAAATGAATAAGTATAGACACACTAGAACTGAATTCGTACATTTTACTGACATTTGAAATTATCTTCATTCAAGCAATAATGCGGCGATCTATTTGTAAATGTATAAATGTAGCTAAAAGAATGACAAAGCTTGGAAAGGAACTATATGATGTTGCGGAGGTCCGTGTTTGCTCTGATCCTATTCTGTATTGTTTATTGGACTTTTTAGCTGAATTCTGTTTGTTATCTCCATATATTTCATTTATTTAAAAAAAAAATGTTGATTGCCAAAGATAGAAAATAAGATGAGGGGACAAGGTGGACGAAATCTCACAAAGACTGAAAACATTTGTCCATGAAAAAGCATACACACACACTAAAAAGAACAAAAACCATAATTTTCTCATATTTTAACAAATTTGTGGGTCTCCGCTCCATTTTTTTGAAAGATAATCTAAAAAGTTTGCAATAAAATATACATTTTTAGTTTACAAAAACATGGAGTGAAGACCCCTTATACCTTAAAAGTACACTTTTATGGAAAAAAAAAACATTCGCATCTTTCTGAAAAATACTTCAAGTTCATTAAGTCAAGCATCATGCATATCACAAACATAATTTAAATGCCCCAAATCATCATGAGCTATGTAGCATAGTGGTTAGCGCGTTAAGTCTCAAAGCAATATGATACTTCAGATTTCTATTGCTAGGGCTTCGAATCCCACGAATACCATCTAATAGTTCTATCAAATAAATTTTCGAGATCTTTTTTCTCTCAGAAAAGTTTTTTTCTCGTAATTTTATAAATTTCAATAATGAGAAGTTAATTTAAATACTCAATTCACATACTGAATATGATTTCTTAAATTATGATGCTATAGGCATTCTGCCTGCCTTGTTCCTCCATGTTCTTATCTAATGTATTTGGATTGATATCATTAATGTAAGTAGAGAATAAAGTTAAATATTTCAAGCAATTTCTTTTTTACTAAACAGCTAAAATTCTATTATATTAGCTTTCTAAATTTTAACATCTAAGATTTATTTTCCAAAACCATATAGTGACAAGGATATTGTATTTGTAGGAGAAGATGCGATAGACCTGGTTGGAAAACAGGTTCTTGATTTTTTTTTTTTCTAAAACTCTATACTTGTTTAAAGCAAAACTAATTTTCCTGATAATAATAAGGCGTGAAAGTTACCTTTCAGAGACATAAATGAATTAATTTTTACTTTTTTAACAAGGTCCATGCTACTTACGTAAAAGTCGATCTTTTTTAACTCGACAGTATAGACTATCACTCATTCTACTCTACTGTTCCCTGTGGCGTATCATTGAATTCACCCAAGCAGAACATAACCATATTGTGCGTAGTTTTTTGTTTACCTGTGATAATTATAACGAGACCTGCTGAAAGTTGCTGAGAAAAAAACTACGCACGGTATGACAAATTTAAGGTTAGTTGTATTAGTTCTTTGTTGTTTCCTGGAGGAAATGAAAAATTGTCTTGAAAAATAAGCAATGATTCACCACTCTTATGTACATTGTAAAAGTAATATTTGCTTGACATTAATTAGCGAAGACATCATACAGCGTGGTATTGACAATATAATGTATAAGAAATAGTTAAGTACTTTTCTACCTAATTTTAATCAATGTGATTGCATAGTTGAAGTGAACAAGGATATTAAGAGGTAAAAATCTGTACCAACTTGAGACATATCACTTATGTAAATTTATTTGCTTTTTCTTGTTTTAATGCATCAGTGAAACAGATTAATAGGCCACCATGTTTGTAAAGGTTAATTTTATATAGGCCATTAAAATCATTAAGTATGTATTTTTATATCTGGAAGTATCTGACCCATAATTTGATGAAATAAAAAAAATTAAATGATTATAAACAGTTATGTGTTCGTAGGTTATGGGTTTTCGATCCACTATCGCTCCCCGGGTAGTGGTCAGGGAATCAAGACCCTTGTTTAGAGAAAATAGATAATCTTCACGAACAACAATGCAAGGAAAAGTCATTTCATATTCAAAAAAAATTCTTGTAGTCAAAATGTTAGTGATCGATCTAATAAAAAATAATCAATAGACAATTCGAAGATACAAAGTGAACATTAAATACGGCCCCTTCGAAATGTCAGGGATGGGGTCAGGAGCTCAGGAGGAATGGGCGTTCTCTGATGGCCGGCACGCCCACCCCACTCTTTATTACTATTCTTTACTAATTCTAGATAATTTCAAGCAAATGGTTTATTTTCCGAAATGATTTTTTTTTAAAATTGCAACTCTTAAGACTTTAAATTCACATATTTTATTTAACTTTTGAAATTATTACCATTTAAGGAATAATCCAGCAATCTCTTGAAACATGATCACATGCATTTGTTAACTTATAGTTGCAAGACTGACAAAATAAGGAAGGGACCTGAATGAAACTAAGTAAAACTTATAGGTACACACTTTTAAAGCAAAGAATCCCTATAACTGTCAAAATAGGAAAATTAATCCTGATTCACTTGTATTTGGATTGATATCAAGACCCGAATATCACTTCAAGTAATTTCTCATTCAAGAGGGAAGACCGAGTTTTTCCAGAACTTAGTTGTTAAAAAATACGATATTTGGGGGTGGGGGTGCGATAAAGATCGAAGAGAAAAGGTTATCATTTTTGTTGAGGAGAGTTTTAACTCTTGAACCATATTTCTATTCATAAGGAAATACGTTACTTGCAAAATTTATACGATCAAATAATTTCTTGCAAAAATATACGATGTTTCGTATAAACTCTATTAAACAAGGCCAATAACATGTATTTACGTCAGATTTATTTTTTTTTAACTTGACAGTATGTAGATTATCATTCTCTTCATTATACTGTTCCCTGTGGCATATCATTAAATTCACCCAAGCAGAACATTTTTCCAATGGTGCATAGTTTTTATTACATTTACTTGTGATAATCACAACGAGCCCAGCTCCAGCTGAAGGTTACTGCATGAGAAAAAAACCCCAAATGCATTGTATGACATGTTTTGTATTAGTTCCTTATCTTTACATCTTTGTTGTTTCCTGTAGCAAATAAAAAGTTCTGTCGAAATAAAGCAATGACTCGCCAACCTTATGAACATGTACAATGTACATTGTAACAGTTACATCTGTTTGACATTAATAAGCGCATATTAAAGAGTGGTATTGGCAGTATACCTATATAAGAAGTAGTTATAACAAGTGCTTTAGTCCCTAAATAAATCAATGTGAGAGCATAAATTCTAAGTGAACAAGAATAATAGGATGTTAAATTCTTCAACAACTTGAGCTAATTTAGTCTAGTGTTGTTTTTATTGCTGTTTTCATCTTTATAAGCATCAGTGAAACAGGTTAAAATATATAAAAGATACAATGTCATAATTTTAAGGATAATCTTCAGTAGGCCGTAAAAATCTGTATCTGACAAAAAATTTCCAAAAAGATTAAAATGTATTCATAACAAATAGTTTTTGAAGTTTAGAGTTTTGCGATCCATCCCCGCTCTCTGGTAAGCAAAGTAGAGAATTTAAAACCCTTGATTTAGCAGAATGAAAAAAAAAAAGACCAAAAACAATTAAATTGTTTGACAAATGAGATAACTTCAGATTTTTAACCTACAAATTTCCTTCTTTATATCTAGTAATATTACTCCATATGATGTTTACGTCTCCCCGCTCAATATTCACTATTTGAAAGAATGCCCTGAGTACTGGAGATTAATTTTAAACTGAAGCAACTTAAGTATGGGTAGCCTCCTTAATGGAACAAGTCAAAATACGACTCAGTAGAGACTTTATATTTTGCTAAATAGGTCATTAGAACGACTATAGAATTTAAGAAATACTGACCTGAAACGAAGTTCTTGAAACTTTGTTGCTACAAAACTGTGTTTTTAAGCAAAGTTTTGGTACAACCCTTGTAAATGAAAAAAAAAAATTACGAGCAACCATGCAAAACCATTTCTTTGATTTTCAGAATACATATATAAAGTCTGAATTAAAGTAAGGGGGCTATTTTTTTTCCATTGAAGTTTGCATGTGCTTATGGTGATATATGGATCCTGAATGTTAAGGCACTTAGGGGTTGTTGTTTTTATTTGTAAATCATGAGATGTACACTTTAAACAAACAAGAAAAGCATCTTAATTAATTAAGTAATAATTATAGTATCAGTAGTAGTAATAGTGATGATGTAAGTATAATTCGTTTTATAATTATTATTATTGGTTTAATGTTAAATTATTTTCCCCCTAATGAAATACTGGTATACATCCGTGTTTTCCTTATTTCTATCTTTATTATTAAAAAAATCTCTTTTCATTTTGCAGAGTGTAACAAAATGTGATATATTTCAAGGATACTGGACTCAAAAAAGATCTCTTTATTATGTCCCATACCAGATTAACGGGTAAACACAATAACGAGGATCAAGTCAAGGGGATTAACTCGGTAGAACGAGAGAAAACTCCCGTTATTCTGGTGCAAGTATTTTTCTTGGTGATGTTATGCTTAGGAATCGCCATCGTTTGGCAAGTCCATATTCTGAATCGACTTCTCTGGGAAATGAACGGAGAGCTTGAAAAACTTAAATCGCTTACAAACGGTGCTATAATTGACAAAACATTGAAAAGTATTATGAATGTAGACTAATTTCTTTCAGAAAGAAAAATTGTGTTAGAAAATAAATTTGTTTTAATGATGAAAGATTCCTTTGTTTTGTTGATTAGTTAGGCTTTACTTAACGTTGATTTTATATAATATGGATGAAAAATAGGGAGATCTCAAACAGTATTCAAGATCAAAAGTCCATAAAACAATACAAACACGGACCTCCAAAACACCAGATGTTGGATGAGGTGCCATGGAGAAGTGAGCATCCCCTGCCGACCGGTTACACCCACCATCTGCTCCTTGTCATGGTCGGAAAATAACGGAAAAAAATTCGTCATCAATCAAGTGTATAAATAATGGACTAACAATTAGTATGAAAAACGTCAGTCGGCATCTGATTCGATGATAAATTGTATTTGCTGACAAGGTCATTGTATCGACCATAGAACTTAGGAGATGACTTTAACGAGACTTTTACTTTTCGTCAACTTCCCTTACCTAGGCAGCAATGTACATTCATCATCTGCATACGTAGTATATATATCTCAGTTGATTCGATACGCAAGAGCATGCTCTAAGTATGAATAATTTCTAAATTATTATAAATTATTGACAATCAAGTTGATGAAACAAGAATATCAGTAGTCTCGTTTGAAGTCATCATTTCGTAAGTTCTATGGTCGATACAATGACCTTAATGTCAGCAAATACAATTTATCATCGAGTGAAATGCTGACTGACGTTTTTCATACTAATTGTTAGTCAATTATTTATACACTGAATTGACGACGGATTTTTCCGGTATTTCCCGATCATGACAAGGAGCACACGGCGGCTGTGACCGGTCAACAGGGGATGCCCACTCCTCCATGGCTCCTGATCCCACCTCTGATGTTTCGGAGGTCCATGTTTGCTCTGCTCCTATTTCGTGTTATTTTATGGACTTTGATATTGAACACTGTTCGTTACCTCCATATTCTTCATGCATACATATTTCATGTACAAAATAAATGCAGACATTCATGGATGTTGTAAAAAATGCCTTTATTGCAAGATGTATTGATAATTAACTTTTAAAGATGACAAAGTTGGTCAGTTGTATGTGATTTCAACATTGTTAGTTAATATCTAAAAGATCACTCTAACTGCATACAATTAGCAAAGACTTCGACATATTTAGTGCATTGTATGTAGTTCAATATTTTTTCCCAAATTGCTATTTTCATGAAGTTGACCTCACATTTTGAGCGTCACAGTAGTTGAATTCCCACCTTCTTCTGTCGTGCGTCTGAGAATTTTTCTTTGTTTTTATATTTTTTTTATGTTTGCCCTTATTCCAAAAAAAATTAGTCAACTAATGAGATGAAAATACTCAAAAACAAAAGGTTTGTATTGCAATTATCACCACAATTTAAAAAGTGTACGAGTTATGTTTCATTACCTTATATCATGTATTATTTCTCTTTCTTAAAAATCAAAAGCCCTAAAAATGATTTCTTGAGCAACTTTATAAAGCAAAAAGGTTCAATTTATAGATACAGGTGAATGAAATTTTTAAACATTTGAAAACATGTTTGCGGAAGACTTGGTGAAATATTTTTAATTTCCTCGTCGAGTTAATATTAAGTTTGTTTGTATTTCGCAAGTGATGGTTAATCATATCCAGATTGACCCTCGCTCTATCAGCATATACACTGCTGGAAATGTAAATAAAACGATCATTCACAAAAGTATTGTCACGTGGAGATTACAAATTAAACTGTCCCCAATATTGACTACAAAATTTACTTAAATACCCTTGAGGTTTCCCCTAGTACTTCAGATTTCTTGTAAATTTTTGATATTAGAGAAATGATACGGTCAGTTGATTTAGTTTTGACCACGATAATTGTGCAGTCCCTGGCTTTCGGCGATTTTCCTTCCTATGAAGATAGGTTGACATTCAAGGTATATCCATATGGACTCAAAAACAAAAATGTTACAAAAGCTCTTTCTGAGCTAAAATTTCTAGTTAACAGCGCACTTGATGCCGAATTTCTAAAGAACATGGCGGAATCTGGTGACAGAGACTTGTTTGGATTAAGCTCGGGTCTATCGGCCGAAAATTACACTGTATCAGAAACCTGCCGTAGCCAGCTGAATCATACTATAAATGGATTAATAAACAGCGAATTCTGGGCTCTCAAAAGTAAGTTAACCTGTAAAGGCATGTGGAAATACTGATTTCTATAGTCATTTTTATCCACATTCAACTGTCAGGCTTAAAATTTTCATCCGCATTTCAGTTAATGCATTTTTGTCCCCCGCTTGAAAAGTGGGGGATATTAATTTGGGTTTGTCCGTCCGTCTGTCCGTCCGTCCGTCTTTCTGTCTGTCTGTAACGCTTTCGTTTCCACGCGATATCTCGAGAACCCTTTGAGCGTTTGCAATGAAATTTAGCATAGCAACTCCCTATGGTCTAAAGAAGACCCCTATTGATTTTGAGGTCAAAAGGTCAAAGGTCAAGGTCATAAATTCGCATATTCTGTCTGTTATAACACTTTCGTTTCCACACGATATCTCTAGAACCATTTGAGCTATTGCAATGAAACTTTACATAACAACTCCCTGTGGCCTAACAAAGACCCCTATTGATTTTGAGGTCAAAAGGTCAAAGTTCAAGATCGTAAATTTATACATTCTGTCTGTGTGTAACACTATCATTTCCGGGCGATATTTCAAGAAGATTTTGAGCTTATGCAACGTAATTTTATACCAAAACTCCTTAGGACCTCTCTCACCCCTCTCAAAGTGCCCCGCCCCGTTTGTTTTATTAGTATTTATAGTATTACATGTCGTTATTTTTAGCACAGGGGCATGAGGAGAGTTATTGCGTATAAAACAGGTTCTCGGCGGACTTTATGTTCTTAATACATCTATTAGAACTGTTTAATAAAGGCTAAATAAATCAAACACCATGGATTGTGTAAAATTTTGAGAATACCGAACATAAATATATACATGTATGTGACTTTAGTTCTGCATTTACTTCAATTTATGTAAAGTGAGTCCGTGGTCTGGTGGTATGTCTCTCGCTTCACATGTGAGATGTCCCGGGATCGAAACTCAGTCGATCCTTTTTTTTTTTAAATACTTTTCTTTTTTTTTTACTAAATGATAGTATTCAGCATGTGAAATGAAAAATTTATGAGGTTATAAAATCATCATTACAGTGTGATAAATATTCCATATAAAAAGAATCTTCTATACACATAATAAAGAATAAGCAATCAAATCTTTATATGCATATTGACATACACGTATTTTATTTGCTTCAGTATACATGTATACATTTAATAATTCTACAAATTCAGTCAGGGGGATCCGACTTTTTCCCTAAGCGGGGGACACGAATTCTCTGAATTAGCTTGTGTTTTGTTCTTCCAGTGTTGGACGCTTCAGCCAAAATAGACTCGGGTATATTGGAAGGAAATACAATATGGCTTGGATCTTATGACGAATGTTTACAAATAGACGAGACTCTGCCAGGCATGCCTCCTTCCAATAGTGGCATGGAAACACATTTCTGTGCCGTCCAAATACCAATAAAAATCGCATATATTCCTTTAACTGTAAGTTTTTCTTCTTGATGTCATAGAAAAGACATGAACATGTGTCTCTCACTTGCAGATCTCGAATGTTTTTCACTTATTGTGAGTTAATGATTATAGTAAGTTTATAAGTAACCGAGATCACATTGGAAAATAATCAAATGTTTGATTGAATTATTAGATGTTCGGTACTATTTTACAGGTGTATGTTGCTGTATGTATTCCTAAACAATGTTCACCTGAAGATCTGACATATCTCGCTAATGAATGTAAGTTTTGAAAGTGCTTTTTTTTTTTTAAAGAAATCATATTTTATCTTGCATGAAAATTTCAAAAATATATCTTTCTACTTACAGTAATCTCGATGATAGAAAAACTTCTTCCCATTAAAAATCCGATCCGCATCACCAATGCCTTTTGTAAAGCAGTACCTGAAATTGATACAAGGGCCGTTGTTGCAATGTAAGTTAATGTTCTTCAAAGTATATCATATAAAAATCTATCTAACTAGTACTTTAGGTATTAGAGTTTGTATTGCAACTGCGTTGATCATAATTGCATCAAAAACTATTTGAAAGAAACTTTTCTCAGTTGTAAGCTGTATTAAGTACAATTATCAATGAACAAACTTTCCTTACTGGTAATAGTTTTTTTTTTTGGTTGGATCTTCATTCGTTATATAATTTACTTCCAGAGTCATTCTAGGAATATTTGCTGCGCTGTTAGTGGTTAGCACACTGTATGACATTATTTTCATTCAATGGCCCATCAAAAGAGACCAAACTTTACAGGAGCATGCATCAACTAACGAAGAAAAAACACCACTTCTGCACGAGAAAGAGAACTCGGCTCCAAAAAATGAATGTACGAATCTTTTTTTATATTTTGATTCAAGTTATTATGGATTGCGTTTTTCTGTTGTTGTTTTAAATAAAAAATTGTAAATAAAAAGCCAGATGTTTTTCAAGTTTAATGTAAAATACCATTGTACATTGAACATCTTACATGTATATCGTAGGGTGGGGAGTTCAGTACAATTGAAGTTGAATAGATTATTCGTATATTTTATATGAAGATGTAGAGATACTTATTGTAACAAAATCGTGACAACAACTATAGAAACTGTATCTTTTGTTTATATTTTAGCTATCCTAGAAAAACTTCTTCTGTCCTTTTCGTTATATTCCAACGGGAAGAAGATCTTACAAGTCAATAAATCTGCTGGGACATTAACTGCGTTGAACGGTATTCGTTTCCTCAGCATTTCCTGGGTTGTACTTGGACATTCGTTTGCGTTCACAATCACCAACTTTAGGAACTACTACACAGCTGCACCGAAATTCATGAAACGTTGGTCCTTTCAGGCTGTCCTCAACGCTTTAGTGTCTGTAGATTCTTTCTTTGCTCTAAGGTAATTTTTATTTTCCGTCTGTGCTTTTGGGGAGAAGATTCGTCTTTTTTTTATACATTTATTTTCTTAAAGGAATCATCCTGTTGATTGCACCGGTATATGTTCCGAACGTCTCATTTAGACCAAGTTTAAACCATATTGATAATTCACAAATTACAAAATAATTCAGAGACATTTTGCAATACTCAGTACATGCTTCAAAATAAAAGAGAATCATTAATTTCTTTTTCATCATTTTTTAGTGGTTTGTTAGTAGCTTACCTAACTCTCAGAGAAATGAAGAAAGGAAAAGGACTCCTCAGAATCAACTGGTTCATGTTTTACTTTCACAGATTCTGGAGGTAGTGCACTGAAGTGTTATCTAGTCATTAAGAAAAAAATATTTTAGTTCAATTTCTTTTGACATAAATGTCGAATTCTAAAATTATTTCAAGAGATTTTCAGGGTCCTCATTTCTCTTTTATAATTATAACGTCAAAGTTTGCATTAATTTTAACATTTAGATAAAAAAAATTAAATGTACATGTATTCAAATGTATGCTTGTAACATTAAGTAGAAAATCACATTGTTACCTGTAATCTTTTTAGGCTGACCCCTGTGTACATGATTATGATAATGATCAGTGCCTGTCTTAGCCGATACTTCGGTGATGGGCCTTTGTGGCCAGAGCAGGGATTCGAAAAGGATTACTGTGAAAATACATGGTGGAAAAACCTTCTCTACATCAATAATTTGTTTAACACTGATCTGGTACGGTTAAACTTCTTGGTTTAAAATATCTGATGTGTACATGTACATATAGTGATACAGACCCTAGGAAGTATATGCAATTAAAACCTCTGTTTTCATTGGCAGTGCTTTGGTGTGTCTTGGTATTTAGCCAATGATATGCAGTTTTATATCCTGAGTCCACTGATGTTAATTCCATTGTATTTGTAAGTTGTATTAGTTTTAATTTATGCTTGATATTTAACTCTAACTTGATATTTAAGATTCATATTTCAAAGAAACAATGTAATATTCGCGTATTCCAGCTATTACCCGCTAGGGATAGGTGTTTGTTTTGTTTGGTTGTTGGGGTCTACAATCACACCAGGCGTGGTCTCCAGTGTTTTGGATCTCCCGCCATCATCTGTAGGCGGAGGTGGATCTCCCGAGTAAGTAAAGAACTATTGCATGGCCTCTGTTTTAACTTGTATGCAAAATATATTCTTAAGGAGGCTAGGGGTCAACAGTAAACCATCAGATATTACAATTTTTTTTAGATATGACATCTTTAGCTATAAACCATCATTTGGCAAAGAAAAAAATTCATACATTTTTTAGATTTAAAATTTCATCATTTATGTATATCTTTATTTGGAACTCTTTCTCTAAAAGGAGATCAATAAAGTAAAAAAAAATGACCACAACCCCCAGCCCTCTTAAAATTGTCAACATCATTTAAAATACAATACATTGTTCATTTACAACGCTTATGCAATTTTCGAAGATGATTCTTTAATTATATCTCTTTACACAGGGGGAGAGCAGATTACATGGTTGATTACTACATAAGACCGTACTGTCGAATGGGACCTTATATTGTCGGAATAATTGTCGGGTCAATATTGTATAAAACAGATTGTAAAGTTAAAATCAACAAGGTAAGTATGCCATTTGTAAATTGAACGTTTCATGAATTTTGAAAGTGTATGAGAGAGAGAGAGAGAGATTTGGATGAGATGATCCATTTTGCAAACCTGCTACCGTATATACTCGCCTATAAGTCGGTTTTTTGGGAGTTAATCTCTGGTCTAAAACTCTTTGTTCGACTTATAGGCGAGCTATTAAAAGTATGGTTTTATATGAGGTCAGTCCATCTGATATGCAAGCTTTTTAAACAGGTCGGAGAGAATACTCGAAATCGGGTATTATCCGTGAAATCGCGTATAATACTCGATATTAGGGTATCGTTGAATCCGCGAAATCGGGTATTCCGTGCAACTTTCTATAAAAACTAAAGAATAAAGCAACGGCGCATTATGCCAGTAACTGTTACTTGTACTTCAGTATCTTGTGGATTTATTTTTATTAACCTAATTCAGACGGTTGTCAAATAATTTTAATATCACACGACAAACACCGCTGGGGTTACAAAGAAGACACGATGGCGTTTTTATTTTTCAATATAATTTCTAAAAACAAATAACTGCACTTCATTTGTCTTTATTTCCCAATAAAGTATTCCATTAACTTAATTTTCTAATTTGTGCACTATTCACAAAACGTGAAATTTTAAAGAAATTAAACGACTAACGCCGTGTTATGTATTTTTACTGAAAAATGTATGGCGTCCCTTTCTTGTAAAATATAAATTATTCCTAACAGTTAGAGAGTACAGTATAAGCGAGTCATAATTGTATATCTCTGCCATAATAGAATACCAACGTTATTATAAAGAAGAAAATAAAATAATTTAAATAAATACCCACAGGAAAACAGTTTGAAAATAGCTAAATGAAGGTGAGTATCTTTTTTATGTCAATTTAGCATGAAATTTTTATTCAAAGACACCGTAAATTTTTTGGTTGCATTTTAATCGATACAAGATTTGCTATTTTACCTTTATTGTATGCATTTGTGTGAAAATTGAGAGCGAGAAGTCATATGAACAGGATTTTCTGGGGGTTTTTTTTGGGGGGGGGGGTTATAAATAAAAGTCAAATGTGTACATCTTTTCATGAGCTTATAATACAGTTTGAATTTCTCAATATAGATCGAGGTACGATCATATTGAAATATGAATTACATAGTCAAGTTTTCACATTTCTAATAGTTTTTACGTTTATGAACATGTTAATGAACAAACTGAAATAATGGAGTGTTCAATTGCCTTGGAAACTCTTGTCTTACTTTTTGGGAATATGATTCCTCATCGGACATTAAAATTTCATAAAAATCGTAGCCACTTCCTTTCTTTATTATACTATTTGATAGACAGGGTAAATTTCACCTCTTTACCTTCTATCTTTTTTATATCGCTATCTTATACCTCATTATAATATGCTAACACAACGCACTATCTGATTGGTTCTAGACAATATGTCACAGTTTTCTTTTAGTTATTTTATCTATGGTATGTATTACTCATGTCAATAACTTTTCCAAATACTCATCTATAATGAAAAAATGTGTTTAAAAAATAAAAATGAATTCTAGTTACTTGTAGTCTCATATTGTGTTAGAAAAAAAAACAGATTGCTTTTTGTTTACCTACAATGTATATGATTTTTATTTGATGAATAAATCTTCCCTACGATTAAAAATATATGACCGAGTTTAACCGACCGTGACATTCAAAGAGAGGTCTTTGGACCCATGTAGAACACAGTCGAGGTTGTTTCAGAGGTGGTCAAGAAAGCCCCCCCCCCCCCTTTGAAGTCGCCAAGAAATGGTAAAATGTTGATGACTTAGCGAAATTAAACGATCAACAGTTGTGTTCTCTCATAAGCTGTATTCCTGAAACTACCACTGTCTCTGCTAAAATGGTGAAGACATATTCTGCAAATATGTTTGAATGATAAATAAAAAAGAAACGATTTTCAAAAAAAGAGAAAAAGGGTTCTTTTAGCCGAAATTTGAGACATTTTTATCACTACATTATTTATACATTCATAAATAAATTTGATTTCATGCACAAGATGAATGTGTAGGTAATTAATGACGCATAATTAGATACGATAGACAATCCCTTGTTTATACATGGCATCATATCTGGTGTGTGAAATGTGTTTCCGTATAATTTCATTTATTTACAAATTGTTCATGTTTGTCGTGTTGATGTGGAATTATTATAAATTTCCGAATTCTGATACTTTACAATTCTGTTGTGTTGGAAATGAACATTAGAAAGATGCATATACTTTCAACATAAGGAAAAATATAAAGCAAATCGAGCGCCTTTTCGTGTGCAGATCATGAAATGTAATGAGCTCCACGGGTATTTGTTGTCCCGAGCGCATTAATCTTGTCGCCCAAATTCTTACTTGGCAAGTGATACCTTTAGAAAACATGTGTATCTAGATGAAAGTTAACTCGGCAACATGCGCCATCCCATTGTTTAAGTTTTATTAGGTGATTACACCTCCTATACCCGATTTCGCGGATTCAACGATACCCTAATATCGAGTATTATACGCGATTTCACGGATAATACCCGATTTCGAGTATTCTCTCCGACCTGTTAAATACAGCCGACTTATAGGCGGACCGACTTATAGGCGAGTATATACGGTAAATATTTCTTGCAAACTTTTCTGTCAATATTTATATATTTTTTTTATAGTTCCTTCTTTTGTTTCAGTATTTGAACCTATTGTTGTGGTTCATCTTTGCAACACTTGCTATCTTAGTTCTCTATGGACTCCGTGATGCTTTTGTCTATCCGGAGGATGCCCTCAGTCGTGACGTGTCGGCTCTATACAACGCTACTCACAAAATCGTCTGGGGAGCATGCGTGTGTTGGGTCATATTTGCATGTGCTACCGGAAATGGAGGTGGGGTGTTTTGTCAATCAGTTTAACTTATACATCTTCAAGGCGTATTTTTTTATATTCCAATATAAACCTATATTAGGTCATTACAAAATAAATAAACATATTAAATACTATATTCAATAAACAAAATTAAGCCTCATTTAGAATTATAATATGTGTGAATGATAGGTTTTGTCAACACTTTGCTGTCGTGGTCGGCGTTTGTTCCGCTAGCCCGCCTCTCCTACTGTATATACCTCACTCATCCTTTCATTATGTACACCTACTCCGGATCTCAACGAACTCAGCTGTATCTAGACGACTTTAACATTGTAAGTATTATTTCAAAATACATCTTTGAAACCTCTATGTATCTGTTATTATCGAAATTGACAAGGTTCATTTTTACAACAAGACTTTTTAAAAATGCAGAAACAAATGTAGCTAAGGATTATGAATTTCTTTGTACAGTGTCTAACTGATGCATTTGTAGCATGTGTATGTCATTGAAATACTGGTATACATGTCTAATTGATATGAATTTTATGGGATTTTCTCTTTAATTCACAGATAAATATTTTTCTCGGCCATCTCGTCTTGTCAACGTTGACTGCCTTCGTAGCCTCGTTATCATTTGAGGCACCGATGATGGGTTTAGAGAAAGTTATCCTGAAAAGACAGCGAGCACATTAACCAGAAGAATTTGTAGTATTTTTTATACAGAACAGACACTTTAAATACTATGTGTTTCTTTTTTATTCATTGTTATTTTTACAATTTGTTTTTATTTCATCGTTATTGTTAATAAATATATTTTAAACGAGTCTTAATGCGTTGTCTTCTTTGAGAATTATGTCCTACATCAATTTCTGTGCATTGTTTGTCACACTTAGTTTAAGTTTACAGGCACATGACTTTCCCCAATATTATTTTACCTATTGAAAGTGTCTATGGAATGGTTGCCCCCCCCCCCCCACTTCTTACCACAGTATGATGATATCAAGGAAATGTAGTATTGTACGCAAAAAATTAGAATTGAAAGGAAGTTGGTCTTGAAAGAAAGTTAGCCACTGCCATTTTCCTTTGTCATGTATAAGTTTAAACATTTCCCGCAAAACTTTTTAACTTTTTTTTTAAGTCTAAGGCTTGAATTTATTTTCATGTTTTTAGTTTTGTACCAAATCGCGAGTTCTGGCCATTTTTTAACAGTTATTAAAAGAATCTTTACACACATTTAAAGGTCTTTTCACAATGAAGAGACTTGGATAGTATGAAAGCCCTAGAACCCCGTCAAAAGTTAGAGACAAAGTGAAAGTGACAAAGTGAAAGTTTGGTAATTTTTTGTAAAATTGGCTCTAACTCCAAGGCCAAGACGTCAAATTTGGTGGTATCTGAAGAAAGGTCTTTAACAAGGAATACACCTGTGAAATATGAAAGCCATAACCTCACCCACTCAAATTTTATTTGCAAGGTTAGAGTTTTTGAGAAGAAACAGGCAACAGATAAAAAGACAGAAAAACGAACGGACAAGGCAAAAACTACGTGTATATACCCCGAATCTTTGATTATGGGACAAGGCAAAAAATTGAAATGGGACTTCTATATATCACATGTATCTCACTTTTGTTCAGCTGCCAACTTTTTTTCTGCCTTTTGACCTTGACTTTGGAGTTTGGTCTACTTTTTGAATACTTGTTCAAAACTTTTGGACGTTTGTCTGTTAATCTTTCTGTCTTTCAGCAAAAACTTTAACCCTGCCTTTAACTTCTGATTGGTTAAATCCAAAGTCTTAATATTTAAAATTTTATATTTCTTGTGACAAGACTTTTTTGGGATCTGGATGTATTAGATCCCCTGACCTTGAACTTGATGTTTGATGAACTTTTGTTAAAAAAAAAATCAAATTTTATACCTGGACTTTAATTTTGTTCAATCATTGCTAGGGCTTTCATCTTCACAACTGTATTCATTGTGACAGACCTTTTCTTGTGTATTGAGTATATGCTTTCCTTAGAGTTTGACTCACTTAAAAAGATTTTAACCTTGACTAACTTTTGAACAATTAGTGTTAATGCTTTCAATTTTCCTTTGTATATTTCTTGTGACAAGACTTTCCTTTTGATACCAGCAATTTACATTTTTGTGCCTGGTCATGGGTTTTTACGAAGTTTTACTTTTTTGAAAAATAAACTTTAGTCTTGGCCATAGCAATTGATCATTTGATGCTAGGGCTTTCATATTTCACATTCATATTTCTTCTGTTGAGTCCTTTTCTTGGGTATCAATTTTTTCGACCCTTTGACCTTGACTTTGGATTTGGTTCACTTTTACCTTAGCCATTCGATTTTGGGTGATTCTTTTGGGTTTTCATATTTCACAGGTAGTATTTTTTTGACAAACAACTTTTTTGATCTCTTGAACTTTACCTTTTAGTTTAACTTGCATTTAAGAAATGTACATGTAGCCTTTGCCAAGGCTGCCATCTTGATTTAAATGTAGCAACTGTCCACCTTGGTCTTTATTTTTCACACCAGGGAAATATGTATGCTTATTTTCTCCCTCAAAATTAGACCTATTAACCTTTCAGGAAAAACATCACGATTAAATAAAGTATCATTATTACAAATTCAGGAAAAGCTTTAGTGTAAGATATTTAATTGCAATACTTCATAAGCATTTCTATAATATGAATATAATAAAAATGTTTAAATGCATTGTATGATTCATTTCACAATAATAAGGACAAGTTTGATGACGTCTAGACATTTCCTACACCGGACCGATAAAAATGAGTTACACGACATGGGGGAGTAACGATGATAATTTTTTATACTTAAAAAAAACCCATTGAATTTATGATTGATTTATAATTTAGTCAGCGATGTTTTACTGTATTGTAATTTGCCGATAAAAATATAAAATCTTTATTTAATAGTGTAAAGACATTAATAATACTTGCTCTGTAAAGGAATAGTGATTCCAATAAATTATTTGTCAAAAAACGTATAAAACTTAATACTGTGTTTAAAAGTGTGATAAATTAATTTAATTGGTTTTCCAGAGATGGAAACTTGCAACTTTTCAAGACTTTCGTGTAATTTAGGCTCATAATTATGGTTTGATAAAATGAGCATCGGAATTTCTAAAGAACAGTAAGTCTATTTTTGTTGAATACTTTAAAACAATTGCCACTAAAATACAAGTACATATGATACAGTATAGCTCATCTATACAAATTTCGAAACGGCTTATATAAGTTCAAAACTTATCTTCATAACTGGCCATTAAGTGAATGATATCATTTTGCCCTATTAATCACAACACATAGGTATGATATAGTACACAGAAATAGCCATAAGTTTTATTTCACAACACGGGTAGGATAGTAAGATAACACAGTTCACCAGTTATATATTGAACATCAAACTCTGAAACCAGTCTATGTGCACTAACCTTATACATAACAATCGACATCTCAATATGAAAGCAGTGGGTTTAAGTGTTGTTTTTATCGCCTTTTGTTCGATTTGTGGAGCGGATGTTCCTTTCCCATCTTATGAAGAACTTGTATCGTTTGACTTGAGAAAATTAAACCCAAAACCACAGAGAAACAACACATACAAATTATTAGAGCTGAAGTCGGTGATCAATCAAGTACATGATGTCACTTTCCTGAAATCGTTGGTAGATTCTAACGATGGCTTTTTAAGATCATCCACAGAAGATGGGCCTAACCTTTTAGCCGACAACTACACGGTGTCTGAAGGATGTCGAGAGAGCTGGAATCAGACAATGACGGCGTTGACCATAAATGAGTTTTGGGCTTTAAAAAGTAAGTATATTTTTTGGTATTCATTGATGCTGCTTTGTTCTTAGTTATATATATATAATCACCATTCAATTCAATTTTGTATGTCTTCAGTGATTGATGCTTCCGCCAAAATTGAACCTGGGATCTTAGATGGTCATTCAAAGTGGCTTGGGTCTTATGACGAATGTTTTAATTTGGAAGCCCCCGTGAAGCACTTTTACTTCGAACCCGTTGAGACACAGTTCTGTTTTGCCCAAATTCCAGCTAAACTGCAATATATTCCTTTGGAGGTAAGTCAGAGAAGAATAGAACATATTAACAAATATAAAAGAAGATAATGATAAATATTATTCCTTATCATGGAAATATATGATTACTATTTTCTAAATTTTACTTAAAGATAGATATGGGGTTATGTGTACCTAAAGCTTGTTCACCGAGGGATATAATGAAACTTTACAACGACCGTATGTATTCAGCCAATTGATCAATTTATCTTTTTTAACATATATAAGGGAATTATAAATGGGGATTTCTGTACATTTTAGTATTTGCTACAATTGAGAGGTTCCGACCTACTGCCAATCCAATACGTGTTAAACGTGTATATTGCCCCGAGAAACCAGAAATTGACACAAGAGCCATCGTTGCTATGTGAGTAAAATTTGTTCAGTAAGCAATAATAAAATAAAATGACATGATCTGACTAATTCATTAACTGTTTAATATCAAGAATTAATAGTTTATCATTAAGTGATCCAATATTTTGGATCGGAAATATAAAAGTAATTATTCATAGAATTATATTTTGATATTTGAATAAATCCAATGTGCATTTTTAGAGTAATTCTCGGAATATTTGCCGCCCTAATATTATCAAGCACTGCATATGATGTCATCGTCAAGCATTGGTTGCGTCAGCCCGAAGTGAATTCTTCGAAACCTGCGTTATTAGAACAATCTGCAGAGACCGCCTTACATAACGAGAAAAGTCCTTTGTTGATGCAGGATAGGGCAAATATTAAACAAAAAGAGGACTGTGAGTAAAATATACCTTGTCAAGTTTTACCAAAATAACTAAACAGAAAGGTAGATAATGATAAACTTGAATATAGCTTACTGATAAAAAAAACGATAAAAAAACCCAAAAAGTACTAGCACGGATCAAAAGATAAATTCTTAAATTTTACCCTATATTTTATATGTGGTATAAATTTCTTTTATCTTTTTTCATATTCATATCGTTACAGCAACTTTAGAGAAACTGATACTTTCGTTTTCGGCTTTTTCCAATGGGAAGAAGATTCTTCAAGTAAATCAGTCCGCGGGAACGCTGACAGCCTTGAATGGGATAAGATTCCTCAGTATCTCCTGGGTTGTTCTGGGACACACCTATGCATTTAGCATGAATGACGCAAGTATGTGGGTTAAAAGCACCTTCATCAATATTAAAAAAAAAATCACTAATATGAATTTAAAAGTACTATTATTTGTCATATTTCAAAAAAGTTTATCATATTCTATAATTTTACTTTTAACATGCACCGTTTGTATAGTAAAAACCTTGTTGATTAAATTCTAATTCAGGTAACACAAGTTCTGCATATCAAGAGATCAAACGCTGGACCTTTCAAGCTGTCTCTAACGCCTTAGTTTCCGTGGATTCTTTCTTTGCTTTAAGGTTATTGTTGTAAATTTTTAATTTTCAATATTTAATTTCAGTCATAATTTATTGTTATATGATATTAAACTTTTTGTAATTATTTGACCATATAGCGGACTGCTTTTATCATACCTAACACTGAAGGCTATGAAGAATGGGCATGGAAGGCTAAGAATCAACTGGTTTATGTTTTATTTCCATAGATTTTGGAGGTATATTTAATCATATTCAATATTCCATTGTTAAAAGTTGTGAAGAGATATGTTTCATTTGTTACTATGAATGTATATTTATATATATTAATTAAGTAAAAACAAGTATGAAAAGAAAACGAGAGAACAAAAAAAAAAAAAAATCGAGAAATTTTATGGTAACTTCTCTTTTTATATCCCTATGATAAAGTTTTATTTTGTAATTGAGACGGAAAGAAATATGAAAAAATTCAGTTGAAAAATTATACTTTATTTCTAATTTTCAGAATAAATCAGAATAAGACAACGTTTCTATTAATAAATTCTTGCAAATATTGTTGTTTGGTCATAGGTTTTACCTGATTAAACTTATTGTTGGTTTGAACATATTTTATTGTTTTTGATGTTATAACAAAAGGATTGGACACAAGTTCTTAAAAACTTAGAACGTCCTCTCCTTAACCTATTGTTCAATTTTTTAACCAGTTCAAGCTGTCCAATTGTATATCAAGTTTTTCAAAGTTTTATATTAATTTTTGAAAGCTAAGTTATACAGAGACAATAAATAATTAAAAGGTGTGTTTCTCAAGATAAATGAAACAAAATTAATGATGCTTTTATAAGTGGAATATAACAGTTTAAATTGTTTGTAGATTAACACCTGTGTACATGATAATGATAATGATCAGTGCCTGTCTAAGTCGTTATTTTGGAGACGGACCTTTGTGGCCAAAGAATGGGTTCGAGCCAGATTTCTGTAAAGACACGTGGTGGAGAAACCTTCTTTATATCAATAACCTGTTTAATAAAAAACAGGTAATCTAAGATAATATACAAGTAATATATTAAATTATGTTGAATTTTGGGAAACACAAGCAATGGGCATTTACTTTCACATTTAGTTTAAAAAGAATTTATTTACCGGTACATTCCATTATTGTCACGTTTAAACAGATTGTGAGATTTTCAAATGTAGCATCATGATATAAAGATACATGTACTAATAGTACTTTGTTTTTCATCAAAACAGTGTATTATTTATATTTTACCATTCAAAACTTCATTGTGCATAATTACAATTTTTAGTGCTTTGGAGTTTCTTGGTACCTTGCCAACGATATGCAGTTTTTCGTAATAACTCCGCTGATGCTAATTCCATTATATTTGTAAGTCCAATTCATCCTTTGGAAATCGTTATGAAATTCATGTAATTAAAATGATATAGAGATCTACTGAAGATATTTTTTTTAAGATTTATGTCATATCATTCTATTCATTCTTTCCTGTAGCCATTATCCATTAGGAATTGGCGTTTGCTTTGTCTGGCTATTGGGTTCTGCAATTGCGCCAGGGGTCGTCTCCAACGTCTTGGATCTCCCTCCCTCTAGTTTTGGTGGAGGCGGATCACCAGAGTGAGTGCAATTTACTATTTGATAAAATCGAGCACGACCAATATCTTTCTTCTCGCCCCATAGAAGAACAGAAGGTTTCTTTTATTTGATAAAATAAATTGTTTGTTTTTTTCGTTTGTTGTTTAACGTCCCTCTATGTTTAATGCTTTAAACTTCCTTTACACAGTTTTATTTTTTTGTTTTCACTATTTAATTGTATTTAGGGGTAGAGGAGACTACTTTAACAACTATTACATCAGACCTCACTGTCGGATAGGACCTTACATTGTCGGAATTATTGTGGGATCTCTTCTGTATAAAACAGACTGTAAAGTAAAAATCAACAAGGTAATAAAGATTATATTTTGCTCCACTGGTTTGGAGACTAACGTGTAATTTCAAAACAATGGAGTATTTTTCGTAGAAACATTTCAATATACCCTTGATAAAATGTTATATCTCTGAATCTTCATGTTCTTTATAGAGTTTGTATTGTAAAGTATATTTTTATCAGATTTGATAGATGTACTTCTTTAGCAAATGAAAGAAATTATAACTTCCATCTAAAGCAACACAGTTTCTAAATGGTGTCAAGAACAGCGGGAAGAAATATTGTCTTTTCTGTTGAAATAAGGGTGTAATATATTCATATTTTTGGCAACAGTTTCTGAACCTACTGCTGTGGCTTATCTTTGCAACACTGGCCATTCTTGTCCTATATGGACTCCGTAACCCCATCAACTATCCAGAGGATGCCCTTAATCGGGACGTCTCGGCTCTCTACAACGCCACCCACAAAATCGTCTGGGGAGCATGCGTGTGTTGGGTCATATTTGCTTGTGCTACCGGAAATGGTGGTATGTTTTTCTTGAAAGTGTCAAAAGCTTTAAGATGTAAACAAAACACATACATGTTCTTTGTCAAGACCATATTTCACAATCTTGTTGATGTATCATTTATTTTAGGATTCATTAATACTCTTCTTTCTTGGTCTCCATTCGTCCCTCTCGCTCGACTCTCCTATTGTATATACCTAACTCACGCCATGGTTATATGGACTTTCTTAGGGATGCAACGCACTAACATATACATTGACGACATAAATACGGTGAGAATCTCAAAATGTGGTAGTACAATTATAATAAAAAGGTTTCTTGAATATTATAATCCTAATTTTTAACATGCTTTAAGACAACTATGATAAATATATTTTTTCCCTATTTCCCTATTCCTATGAGAAAAGAAACCAATATATTTTACTCTTTTTTTTTAGATTTATCTCTTCCTTGGTCATTTGGTTCTTTCCTGTATGACGGCATTTGTGGCATCGGTTTCATTTGAAGCTCCGATGATGGGATTAGAAAAAATACTTCTCAAACGGCCAAGTCATAAGTGATCATACTTAGATATAGAACACACGAGGAACTTAAATATCTCTGTTGTTAGGTTATATACAGTAGTTTTGTTATTTTTATGCACATTTGAGTATATTTTGTTCTTCAACATAAATTGGTTTATTCCACTTAGTTCAATGTTATTAATTTTATTTTTGAAAAAAAAATGGGAGAAGAGCTTGCATATGCATACGGCTCCGTGCACTTTTTCAACTCGCATGGTTTTTCACACAATTCAACGTCACATTGCTATAATGCGAAATTGGGTAACGAGGTTACAACATATATTCTAAAATTGTGATTTATAACGAATTTATTTTTATATCACTAACTTAAAACACAATTCACACATAATCATCAGTAAAATTTTGATATGTTCTTGGCTGATAGATTTTGACAGTTCCCAAATGGTGTTTCATGATTTCCCTTCAAATGCTGCCGTCTTTGTGTCCTTTCTTTTGAAAGCAGTCTTTTGCGTTGCCTACACAAAAATAGTGCAGCTTATGTAACTTCTGTATTTTTTATACATTAACATGACTCTGAAGCGCAAGATGATGAGTATTTCTCATCTGTTTGACTGCTTTACATGTTAAAAAGCCGGCACTTTTAGGGTTACTTTCTGAAATCTAAGCTTTATAAAGAAAGATGCGCCCCACCGCAAAATTTCAAAGTTTCAGACCGTAAATGTAAAAGAATGATTTTTTTCAATAGTAACAATTTACTATTTTATAAGATAAACAGTGCTTTATTATTCTATTTTTCATGATTTCTATATGCAACATTGTCATTTTTTAGCACTATCTTTCGACAAAAACCAAGAGAAGAATGGAAAATGTGCAAAGTACTTAGAAAAATTTATTTTCTCTTCTTTGAGAAGTCATTTTGAAAATTTCAACTAAATAGTATCAAAGAAAGCTCGATTAATTTAATTTTTAAATACCTATGGTATTACAGATGTAACATAAAACCATTTATTGATAATGTCTCATTTAAAACATGGGCTTTGAAACTGTTAGATAACGTTTTTAAAAAATATGTACTTGCCATGAATATTTAATACATATTAGGGTTATGTCTCGTACTGAAGTTCGAAAACGTTCAGTTTTAATGCATGAAGAATGTGATGTCAATTTGTGCGAAAAAAACCACGCGAGGTTTTAAAAAGTAAACGGAGTTATATGTGTGAAGTTATTTATATGAAAGTTATACATGTATCGAGATCGATCGAGAGAAAGAGAGAGAGGCATAATATAATAAATTACAAGGTGAAAATTATAGTCAATAATTTTGTTTTCAATATGAGCTGAAAGTAAAGTTTTAAAAAAATACATTAAATGTGAAATATATGGAGATAACGAACGGTATTCAAGCTCAATAGTCCATTTGTATTTAACGAAAGGATATCTCTTTTTGTACTTGTTGCAAAGCAAAAATTTTAATGTGCTTCGCAAAATGAAGTTTCGTGTAAAATTGAAGATTTGTTACAAATAGTTTTTAAACATAATTTTATACAAGATAATACTGGCTTAGAAGCATCTGCATGAATCATATCAAACAACCGTGGGCTATAATTCAAGGTCGTAAACTAGGACCCAGAGGTACATGTACTAGTATCACCTTCTACACAGTATTTATCGATCTTTGCACACCACTCTTTGTTTATTGAAGGAAACAAATGATAAAAATAAATTGTAAACTATAATTAAGCGAGGGAGAAAATTTCTCAGAAAACGAGAACAAATCTAAAACAAAAATTCGCCGTTAGGCCAGGTCTTCTCAAGTGTTAAACTATGCTTATTTATTAAGTAAGTGTGGGTCCAGAGCCTTGGATTGACGTAACTATCTTAAAGAGAAATTGACTAACTGAAAAGATTGATAACTCTTAATGGGTTAAATGACAATATTTTGTTTAATTCAAGTTGGAATACACTATATATGTATATCAGTGAAATTTTACGCCAGAAGTGAGACTGAATTTGCTTGCATTTTCAATTTTTAATTAAACATAAGATTTCTTTTTGAAAATCAACGGAATTTAAACAAGATGTTTAACGAGGAAACCGAGGGAGGATAAACATAAACCTTCAGTTTAGATTTATGGAAAAAGGTACCTGATCCTGAAACTATATGTTTCAGTTTAACTAAGTTTTTGAATTGTAAGGGGTACTTTTCACCAATCATTTTACACAGATGACAGAGACTTTTTGCAACATCGGAAAATAACCCTTTGCGGTTCTTGTAATCAAATCATAAGCAAATATAAAAATCAAAATAATACATGCTATCTAATCCGTCTACAATCTTCCCATCTTCCCCTGACTTCCAATAACGTACCGATATCTTTCAAAACTACTATAATAGCATTATGACGCATAGCAAAATACCATGTTATAAATAAAAAAAGTTTGTGCTTAAAAGAGCTACTTCCGAAGTTGTTTTGATCCTTCGATACACATGAAATATGTGAAGAAAACGAACAGTATTTGAGCTCAAAAGTCCATTAAAATAGGAGAGGAGCAAACACGGACCTCAAAAACATCAGAAGTGGGTTCAACTGCCATGGAGGAGTGAGCATCCCCTGCCGACCGGTCACACCCGCCGTGTGCTGTATTACAGCCATTACGTTTATCATAAAGCTTTGTTGTTAAATAGTCATTGACGTATTTTTCTAGTAAAATACATACAATAAATAAAACTTCAGTTAAAAGGAAACAATTCAATCATTTGCTCCATTTTATTTGCTGATAGATACTAGTATTCTCACAGATCAGAAAACACCAGGTGCATGACACTGTCCTATAGTGCAATACAAATATTGGCGATGAACAGCAAGGCCATTTTGAAATTCAAATTTAATTCTATTGATTTTTCAACATAAAGTTGCTCTTACGTCTTTCAGTACACTAAACCAAATTGTAGTTGCTTAGGAAAAGAAACCAAATCCAGTTTTGTTGCTTTTTACGAGAGGAAGTCTAGATAAATCATGTTGACTTCCCCATTCTCTTTGTTAACAAATCTTCCAAAGATTTCAGTTCCTGCTATTTCCATTTCTACAAATCCAGAAAACCTCTCGGGCCACATTCCTCCTGGGGGTTCCATGACTATCTCCCCATGCTTTTTACAGTTGGAATCAGTTACATACAGAGGGTGAGGGTCATTACTGGTGTAAATTTCGGTAATTTTCGGCTTTTTCCGCATCTCCTGGCGAATTTCACTTTCGTATGAATTGTGAATGGGATACCGAAATGTTTCTCCAATTTTTGTTTTCTGATCAACCGAGAAAAATACTTGAAACAGGTTTTTACAGTAATATTTTCCGTCAACCAACACCTTATTTTCTTCTCTGTGAATTCCATCAATGAAGGGTCTTGCAATTCGTATTCCATAAGTACACTTGCAAATTCTTGAGCAAATGCACTCTGGGTTTTGTCCAAAGAGAACAGCACCTTTTAATACAGCCATACTCGGTTCTTTTGGAGTTATAATCATCATGTTGGGGAACGCTTCCCGAATAGCATCGCGAACAAGGGGTGATTCAGTAAATCCTCCAACCATCAGAATTGTAGCAATATGGCGACCGGAGTTTTCCTCGAATATTTCCTTCATATGTTTGACAATACTGTCAATGGTTTTCTTGAAGAATTCTCTGAAAATATTGGGGTCTATCAGAATTTTGTCACCTTTCACAATTACTTTACCGTTGTATTTTGTCTCGCGAATCACCTCCTCTAATTCAAACCCAGTTTTTAGTTTTAACTTCATCCGAAGTTCCGCCGGAATCTTGAATGGAATTTCATCAGTTGTTTCCTTTGAAACCTTTCGTTTCTTTATTTCAAAAGATCGAACCATCTCCAAATACTCCGACGGATTCTCTGTCCAGCACTCATTTACAACATCCTCGCCAAAAATTTTATTGAGAAACACGTTAAATTCTTCGTTCACCTTGCCACCTCCCCAAGCCCCACCGGTCGCCTTCCGGATGTGTTCAATATTTCCATCATTGACAACTTCCATGACTGAGATATCACAAGTACCACCTAAAACATGACAATTCAATGAAAACTGATTGTACAAAGAAAAAATGGAAAAAGATCAAATGTTCATGTGGTTTTTGCAGCTTACCTCCAAGATCTAGAACCATGAATTTTCTTCCCTTGTTAAATGACTGCAAGAGATCCCTCCCTCGTAAGCCAACTAGACTTTTCTTCGGAAGCATTCGACAATAAACTGCCGCTACCTCTGATTCAAAAGCTAAAGTGAGATTTTCACAGGGAATTCCAGCCTGCAACAAGCAAAAAACAAACTTTGATAAGTCCCTTCAAGATTTTTTTCACTTATATTGAAAGGCCACCATGCACTTATCGGTGGATGAATTCAAATAAATACAACTGATCGGCACTTAAGGCATGTGAGCATTAAGGGACCGTTTTCTTGTCAGCATCTTCTGCGACATGAGACTTCGCTTCATAGGATCATTCAAGTCCCGCAATGGAACCTGCGACGTAAGGATCAACTCCATACTCCGCGATTCTAGAGCAAACGCTATGACCACTGCGCTATGCGGGCGAGTTTAACTAATACCACACTTTTAAGGATTAGAAGTTAAAAAGTCAATACTTAAACATATGTTACTTTTAAAGAAATTTCTATGAATGTATTATCAATATTTGACCAAGACTAGAAAAACACTTTAGCATACCTCTACAGCCGCTTCTCTCATGAACTGTTTGGCAGCGTCCGTCCAAACTGCAGGAATTGTGATGATGAAGTGAACATCTTCAATGGTATACCCAGAATGCTTTGTCATTGACTTCAAAATCTCCATCTTCAGAAAGTTGATCGACAAAGCAAAAATTGTTTGGGCGGGCACCTGTTTTCCATCAATGTCTTCAAGCATCCTTTTTCTGGTGACATCCTTCCAAATAAGTATATTGCACACATTTACAAATAAAGTGTATCAGTGGGGTGTTACAAGAAATTTCGTCTGCTGAATTTTGTATCAAAACTTACCATATTTCCTTGTAGCTTCATTTTAAACTTTTGAAAGTAGTACCACTCCTTGTTTATCCCTTTTTGGGCTAATTCAGTATAACGTTGGTCTGCGTCGTAACCGAAGGCGTGGAATTTCTGATCAGGATTCAGTAGGATGGAGGTGGGAGCCTTTAAGGACATGCTTCCTGCTCCTTTAACAACCCAGTGGTTCGTCATAATCCGTAAAGGTTTGATTTCAAAGTCATTCTTCAAGGAATACGCAAAACCTGAAGAAAATTGTGAAGAAAAAATCCAGAAATTCGTGTGCAATATTACTATCAGAGGCATTTAGACGTTA